AGCTGAAGAAACCTCTCCAGAACTCCAAGGCAGAATCCAACTCCAATGTTTCTTGGACTTTTTAATGGATCCCACTGAGGAACACGACTGAGAAAGTGTCCCCAGGCCCCAGACAGAGCAGAGAACTGGAAGCACTGATGACAGGTAGGGACAAAGAGAAGCCAAGTCTTGGTGCTCTGGGGCACAGCAGCAGGGTCTGTGCCACCAAGGGCTGTGAAGACATACCTTGTCCTGAGGCCCTGGGGCCTCCTGGCACAGCCCCAGCCAGGCTGGGCACTGTCAGCCCCTTGTCCTGCCCACAGCATTCCTCTTAGCCCACATCCCATGGACCATAAGGATCTGCTGGAAGGAATCCCTTGGGAGCCTTGCTCAACAATGGCCCTGGGGGGCTCCTTAATGCTCCCAGGGACTGCAGGTTTTTCAAAGGACTTTGGGTTTGGCTTTTGCCTTGAATTTCTGTGAGTTTTTGTAATCATGGCCTCCAATTATCTGCGACAATTAGTCCCTGGAGAGCCTTTGTCAGTAACAACACTCAGTGGGGCTCATTACTACTTCAAGGTACTTCAGTTATTTTAAGCTACTTGGTGTTTCCCTTTTGATGGACTCTGTGAGAGGTTTGTGCAATCACAGTCCCAGTTATCTGCTTTAATGAGTCCCTTGAGAGCTTTGTACTGACACTCAGTTGGGCCCATTCATGCCTTGAGATACTCAAGGTTTTTAAGGTACTTTATGGATTTAAGAATACTTTTAGGTACTTATAGAGGTGTTTCCTTCCCACACTGAGTCTCTGAGAGGTTTTTGTGCCATCCTGGCCTCCAATTCTCTCCTCCCGGCAGTCCATGATGATCCTGTGTTGAGTATCTTCCTCCTTTCTGTTTTACAACAAAGATGGAACTGAAAGAATTTTGTAAGATTTTCTAGAAGGATCCAAACAAACATGGGACAATTAACAATACAACAACAACTAAGATAATTAACAGGCCTGTTTTAGTTAGATATCATCCAACCCTTTAGTCCCTTGGATTGGAAGAGTTTATTCACCCAGTCTTTGTTTTCCACTTGAAGATTCTTGAACCCTCCCTTCAGCACTTGAATGCTCTTGTGGATTGACTCGCTGTGGCTGGAGAGGTTCATACAATACATCCCTCAGAGTCTACACAGCCATGCCCATGTGCCCAGAGTAAAAACTCTATCGCTGTTCTGCACGGTGGCATGTCTGATGGTCTCTATATCTGAGAGCAGGCCACTCAATGTGAGGGACATAGCATTGGTTTGCTCACTTAACAGGCACCCAAGATGGTCCAATTGTCCTAAAGCTTTAGCTGCAGCCACCCAAGGTAGTCCTAACTGGGGGTGTTACCATCCGATACCTGGATTAAATCTTTCAAAGCCATCTCTTTGATATCATCCAATACTTCTCTGAGGATACCTACTGTTTGATCATCTAGTAGGCTGTGTTGTCCTTCTCCAGCTAGATGGTTGATTGTCAATTCCACCCTTGCCTCATTATTAGCATAGTCTGCTATTAATTGATTTAGTAA